CTGGTGAGATGGCTCAGTGGTCTAAAGCACCTACTTAGAACAAGCTTAGCAAAGCACAGGGACCGTGGTTCAATCCCCCAGCACCACATGCCAGCCAGGGCGGGCTGAGCTGGCCACACACACAAATAAAGAAATAAAGAAAAAGAAAAAGAAGAAAAAAAAAGAAAGGCGAACAAATGCTAAACTGATACATAGTACCACAGAGCTCCTATGGGTATTCAGATATCTAACATAGAAGAGGTAAGCAGAACTGGTGAGATAAAAGGATTAATTACTGCTTCCCTTTTTATCTCTCCTAAGCAATGTTAGAATTTCAAAATCTAATTTCCCCGGGCCAGGGAGATGGCTCAGTAGAATAAGTGTTTCCCTGGCAAGCGCAAAGGCCTGAGTTCAATCCCTGGTTCTGCAAAAAAAAAAAAAAAAAAAAAAAGAGGCAGGTTGTTTATGCCGCTGAGCTCTCTCTTCGGCCTATGAGTCCTCTCAAAAAACAAAAACAAACCAAAAAAATCCCCCACCTAATCTCCCAAATATCTTCTCATTTTTACAATCTCTTTGTACTACATTACCAGAGACTAGACTGATCTTATAGCCCATCTATTATACTTAATCCTAACATCTCTATTTCTTGTATTTCTGACACTAGTTGATTCTTTTAAAAGAAACTGCTTTTTGAGGGTTTATCATCCTAAAGATGGGTCAGGTGTGCAGCTAAGAAGGCTCCTACCCTTCACCTCCTTGACCCCCCAGCTCTAAGTATTTTATTTTCTTTTTCATTGGGAATAGAAGCTAGGTTTGCCTGATGTCTGGCAAACAATGTACCACTGGAGTCAATTTCTAGCCCCATACTGAGAGTTTCTCTACAGCATATCCTCTTGTTTCCAGGTACTCAGTATATAGTCCTTTGTAAGTATCTACAATAGTATGTATATTGGTAGACATTCTGTATGTAAATGTCTATCTTAAAATGTACATTTAGGTATGGTTTACTGAACTATATTTGTATGTTCAGGAGTTAAAAAACCCTGTAGTCATTATCCATCACCTCTTAACTGAATTACTGCAATAACACAATCTTTCTGCTTAGACCTTGCTTCTCTTGCTTTATTCTCTAAACAGGAACTAGGGAGATACACTTAAAATCTAAATCGTGAAATTTCTACTCAAGTTTATGCTCACAGGAATAGTTCTCTCATATCAGACATCATTAATAGTCTACTGACTATAACCAGTAATTTCTGTAAGAGATTTACAGGACTATTAATAGGGTTAAAGATTACTTTTCATATAAAACATTTCCTTAGTCTATAAAACAGCTATCAATGGCAAACAAAAATATTTTTTGGTCTCTGAGATGACCTTAGCTATCATTGAAAAAGTCACAGTAAATATTTTATCAGTATGTACTACAGGGTAAGGGGGAGTATGGGTATAGTTAGTGTGTCTGCAAGAGCGAAATATATATTCTAGATAAATCCTCTCATGCTGGTATTATGGATGTACACCACCCTTGCTCCTTCTTTAAAGTTTTGAGATCATCTATATTTCTCTCTTTTGGTTCAAGTGCTATACTATTAAAAGACTGGTCCCTTTAAAGATAAAGTGAGCGGGGCTGGTGAGATGGCTCAGTGGACTAAAGCACCTACTTAGAACAAGCTAAGCTAAGCAAAACACAGGGACCCTGGTTCAGTCCCCAGCACCACATGCCAGCCAGGCCCGCCCCCTGGTGGGCTGAGCTGGCCACACACACACTAAATAAACAAATAAATAAATAAATATTTAAAAAAAAAAATAAAGATAAAGTGAGGGCTCACTGTGATTTCTTGGATCAGGAGTTAAGATGTTACAGATCTGGAAGGGGACTATGACACAGTATTTCCTTCTACTGTAGTATAAGCCACACAATCAGGAGACTTCAACAAAGTTACTTTATTTATTTTTGCGGAACCGGGGATTGAACTAGGGCCCTCGCGCTTGCCAGGAAAGCGCTTATTCTACTGAGCCATCTCCCTGGCCCCTCAACAAAGTTACAAAGTCAATTATACCTAAGTTTTCTTTTGCTTAAACACACAATCTGGCAAACATTTGCACATTTACTGCACAAAAAGGTTCTAGGAAAAAATATATTTTTGAATATTGTTTGGTTTTGAGTGCACATCACTTATTGTCTATGTGCTCTTTGAGTAGTTTCTCTAAATCCTTTTTTTATAAAATTCTCACTTTTTAAAGTTTGTAAAATCACTACTATTGGAGTCTACAAGTATGAAATTAAGAACCTGGGCTCTAAAATGGACCACATCATCTATTTGTATGCCACCAACGTTCTGTGTGACCCTTGGCAAATTCTATCAACTACTAGCTGCCTCAAGTTTCCTTGTCAGATAAGGGAATGCAGAGTTGCCTTATCTGGATAGGCTCGAGAAGTAAACAGTAAACAACTGTAAAATACTGCAATGATTTGCATATAATCACTTAGGCATGGTTTATTTTGTACACTGCTATCTTAAACACTATAAACTTTTATTTTTGACAATCTCAACGAGTCTATATCTTTAAACATGCCTGTAATTCCCAGTACCAAAAAAATAAAAATGAAACAAAACCGGTTTTAAACCAAAACAAAAAATACCTGTTTTGAAAGCACTGACATTTTCTTCCAGCAATTTCTGCTTTTTTTTGTCTGGGGCTGTGGCAAGTACATTCGTTTCAAGTTCCTTAACTTGTATATTCAAGTATTCTTCTTGCTCTGATAAACGCTACAAAATATTTCAACACTTTATATGTTAACATAACTTTAAAACAGGAATTTAAAATCTTTAAGCAAGTACACTAACAGGAAAAGGGCAAAAACATGGATATATATAACATGGCCCCAAACACAAAATGTAAGACAAGTTTGAATGCCATTATTTTGTTCAGAAAGCAGCAAACTTACATATACTTAAGGGTAGGTAGTACTCAAAGGCCTAGAAAATATCTATATATGCTGTTTCATGAACTAGAACCAATGTGAGGACAATTTGTCATTACATAACAAATGCCTAAACATTGTACTACATACTGTATATTACTTGTAATTCATCTTGGAAAATGATCGGAAAGTATATAGTACTATAAGGATATTTTAAATTATGGCAATGTACAGGACAGTGTACACAGTAATAAAGAAAAACATTTATCAAAAAGTGATGTATACAAACACTCCAAAACAACTAAAAAAACCAAGGCAATTTATACTGGCGTGGAATTAAAGCCTTAATTTATTTATTTATTTTTTTTTTAAAGCTTTATTTATTTTACATTTATTTATTTATTTATGTGTGTGTGTGTGTGTGTGGCCAGCTCAGCCCACCAGGGGGCGGGTCTGGCTGGCATGTGGTGCTGGGGGATCGAACCGCGGTCCCTGTGCTTTACCAAGCTTGTTCCAAGTAGGTGCTTTAGACCACTGAGCCATCTCTCCAGCCCCAAAGCCTTAATTTATTAAGTGAAGAAAAGTTATGATATTAAAGTCACCTGTATTCTTTACATAAATATATCTACCATATATATAACATGCTAACTATATATTTTAAAAGCTCAGGAATATACATCAAAATTAGAAGCAGTCATCGGGGCATTTTCTGAAACTTAAAAGTATACATTGCTTTTATTTGTTTTGTTTTGTTGCAGAACCGGGGATTGAACTCAGGCCCTTGTGCTTACCAGGGAAGCACTTATTCCACTGAGCCATCTCCCAGGCCCCTACATTGCTTTTACATAATCAAAACATTTCACTTTGAAAAGAATAAACTGTAACCTGTATAAATGTAACTGCTAAGAGAAGTCATATTTCTAAGGAGTATCAGTGGATACAGCATCAAGATTATTTACTAAATTATTTCAGGGAAGCAACATTACCTCATATAGTTTAAAATTAGGAGTGTGTATCAAAATGGTTCGGCCAAGCCGCTGCTAAATTCTAAGTTTCCGCTAATACACATACACATGCGCACACAGTACCTGGATGCTTGCAGTGAACTTCTCGAGTGTATTCTTCATTTCTCGATAATTATGTTGTAACTTAACTACTGCTTCTTCAAGTTGTACTTTCTGTTCTTGGATTTGCATTGCTTTCTTAGAATCTCTTTGCAACTGGGATTCCATTTTATTTACCTACAAAGAAATATGAGTCAAGCACCATTTCAAGTTGATAGCAAAATCAATCTAGAATGAAGCAAACCCAAACTTTTCTGATGTTAAGAGACAAAAATCAATCTGTAATGTTAAACTGGGGATATGTGAATCACCAATGTTAAATAAAACTTATGAGATGGTCAACATATAAGACAAAAAGACTTTAAATTTTCTAAAGTAACCAATTATTTTAATAAAGAAACAGCATTCAAACACTTGGGGGGGGGGTCCTGAGTTCGATTCCTGGTACCGGAAAAAAAAAAAAAAAATTGAGTGGAAAAAGATAAATTATTTCAAAAATGGGGGTGTGGGAGAGAATTAAGGTACAACATTTTGGGAAAAGTTTAATAGCCAGGATAGCAAAGAACAACTTTCATTAAAGGAGGTTGTGCTGGGAATCAAGCACAGGGCCTCACATGATTTACACTCTCAGCCCACCTAAAAACGCTTTTAGGGAAGAAAAAAGTTCATGCAATACTGACAACAATAATGTTGTCAATAATTCTTCCTAGATATTTCATTGAAAAAATTTTATTTTTTGTGGTACTGGGGATTGAACTCAGGACCTTGTGCTCGCCAGGCAGCGCTTATTCTGAGCTATTTCCCTGGTCCTATGTTGGAAAAATTTTACCTTGTTTGTTTTGTTCTTTTTTGATTTTACTGTATTTTTTTGGTTGAATTGTTTTTTAGGGGAGGTTCATTTGTTGTTGTTGGTGCCAAGGACCAAACCCAGGGCTGCCAGTTTGCCAGGCAAGCATTCTACCGCTGAGCCAAATCCCCAGCCCCCAAAATTTTAAATAAGTAGAGAAAAAATAAAACAAACAGGTACCACAAGTCTTTGTTATACCTTAAAAAAATTATTCTGAAATAAACTACTTATGCAATGCAGCAATAATTCTGTGACAGTATAAGGGGTCTTAAATAAACAAATACTTCCAATGATTTATATAACCATTACTGGAAAATTCAGTATGTTAATTTAAGACTTGAGCACAGGTCTCAAAATGGCTGAATTTTGCATTGTTGTGCCTCAGCAAAGTTAGAAATAAAAAAGTCTTAACAGTTCTACATATGCTGACCTCGTCCTCAGAGATTTCAACAGCAACTGAAGAACCCATTCGTCCTTTCATTACTTTGCTGCCACCACCAGTCATTGTACCTGGAGAACATGAGAGGAATCAATCAGGTGTCCTGCCCAAGGTTCAATAAATTCAATGGGAAGAGATCATCCTTACCTGACTGTTCTATGATTTGCCCCTGTAAAGTTACCACCCTCCATCTTCTATCTTTTTGATATGCTACTCTTGTGGCTTGATCCAAGTTGTCAGCTACCAAGGTGTCTCGTAAGGCAAAGTAAAAAGCTTGGCGAATTTTCTCATCTTTCACTTTAACTAAATCAAACAACCGAGGAGTATTTTCAGGAGTTTGAATTTTGGTCATTTTTTTGGCCCAGACTGCCATCTAAAAGTTAAAATAAAAAAATATTAAAAATTTATTTCTTTTAGGTATCATGATAAAGAATTCACACCAAAAACTATTAAATAAGCTCAGCAACAATTAACTGCATTTCCATATAATAGCAATGAATAATCTGCTAGCAAAACTTACTACAAAGCTATAGTGATCAAGACTAATAGTAGCACAAAGGGAAAAATTCAGAGCACAAAAATAAACCATCATGTTTATTAACCTGATTAAGGTAGCCAGAAAACTCAATGGGGATGGAGAATATAATCTTCCCAATAAATGGTGCTGGAACAACTGAACATTCACTTGCAAAATAAGCCAGATCCCTATATATCAGAAAAACAATTCAAACTGTGCATAATCCCAGTACTCTGGGAATCTGGAGCAGAAGGACAAGTTTAAGACTAGACTGAGCAACTTAGTGAGATCCCATGACTAAAATTAGAAAGGGCTGGGAATGTATCACAGTGTGAAGGCTTAATTCCCAGCTCATTATAAACCAACCATCCAAGCAAAAAGTCCATAATGAGAGTCAGGGACATAGCTCAGCAGTGTTAAGCGCCTGCATGGCAAGTATGAAGTCCTGAGTTTGATCCTAGTGAAAAAAACAAACCAAACCAATCCAAACCAAACCTTGAATGAGTTAAGAAATCTAAATGTAAAAGCTAAAAAGTACAAAAATACCAGCAACCAAAAAAAAAAAAAAAAAAAAGGAAAACTAACTTTATCAAAATTAAAAACATTATTAAAAAGTACACTAAGGGGCCTGGGAAATAGCTTGGCAGTCTAAGCACCTGCCTGGCAAGTGCAAGGACCATGGTGCTATCCTTGGTACTGCATGGTGGCACATCCTGTAATCCCAGTGCTCGGGAGGCTGAAACAGGAGGATCACTATGAGTCTGAGCCGCATAGTGAGACCCTGTACCAAATACATAAATAAATAAATAAATAAATAAATAAATGATTAAAAAGAAAATGAAAAATAAAAAGTACACTCAGATATTTTCATTTCTTCATAGGCCTTACTAGCCAATCCTACAGAAATTATTCATAAAGCATATATTAATAAGACTTGTACAAAAAGTAAAGAACTCTCACGACTCCGTAATATTAAGAAAAACACTTAAAAAGATTGTTCAACATTAATCATCAGGGGGCTGGGGAGATGGCTCAGTAGAATAAGTGCTTCCCTGGCAAGCGCAAGGGTCCAAGTTCAATGCCCAGTTCCACCAAAACAAAACAACCAAACCATTAGTCATCAAGAAAATGCAAAAGAAAAAGAACAATAAGACACCATATCAGATCCACAAACTAAAGTAAAAAAGATTTGTAATAACTCTTAATACGGATGTGAAGGAACTGGCACACACATGCTGGTGAGTAAAAGTACAGCATATGGAAAACAGCTGGGTAATTCCTTAAAGAGTTAAACACAAAATTACTTTATTATCCAGTAATTCTACTCCTAAAGATATATGAGAAAACCAAAAACTCAGGGCTGGCCAGAGAGCTCAGCAGACTAAAGCAACTGCTTAGACAGGCATAGGGACCAGGGTTTGATCCTGTGTGCTGTGCTGGCCCTGCCCATGTGGCAAGCTGAGATGACAGACTAGGTGTGGTGACGTGTGCCTGTAATCCCAGTGCTTGGGAGGCTGAAAACAGGAGGATCACTACAAGTCCAATTTGTGTAGTGAGACCCTGTAGTAAATACATTCAAAGAAAAAAAACCCAAACAACCCACCCACCCAGAACTTATGCATATGAGTACAACCTCTTGCATGAATGTTCACAGCAGTATTATGGCTCAAGTAGTCAAAAAAGCAGAATTCAGATGTCCAACAGAATGGATAAAATGTGGCACATATATCCAGACAATGGGACATTTCAGAAATAAAAATGAACACATACATGCTACAAAATAGATGAACATGACAACCTGTTATGTAGGCAAAAACGCCACAAACTGTATGATTGCATTTATATGAAATGTCTAAAACAATTTAGAGGGGCTGGAGAGATGGCTCAGTGGTCTAAAGCACCTACTTGAAACAAGCTTGGCAAAGCACAGGGACCGCGGTTCGATCCCCAGCACCACATGCCAGCCAGACCCGCCCCCTGGTGGGCTGAGCTGGCCACACACACACACACAATAAATAAATGTAATAAATAAAAATAAATATTTAAAAAAAAATAAAATAAAACAATTTAGAGACAAAGTATATTAATGATAGGTTAGGGGTACAGAAGAGAGAAGGGATTCACCAGTAAGGCCCATGGGGAGACAAAAATAATCTGAGTTTAGATAATGGTAATGGCCGGACAACCTCAAAAATATATTACTCCTAATTCATTCAAATGTATACTTTGGCTACTTACATTCAGGGAGCACATTTATTTATGAACTGACTATACCAAGTTTTGCCTGGGTAGGTATCATTTTAATCAGTTGATTCTGTTTTTATTCTGTATTTTTTTGGTACCAGAAATTGAACTCAGGACCTTGTGCTTGCCAGACAGGTATTGTGCTACTGAGCTATATTCCTGGCCCAACGAGTTGATTCTTTCTTTCTTTTCTTTTTTCTTTCTTTTTTTTTTTTTTTTTTTTGGTATTTGGTACAAGGTTACACTATGCAGATTGGACTCATGGTGATCCTCTTGTTTTCAGTCTCCCCAGTGCTGGGATTACAGGTGTGTGCCACCACGCCCAGGTTCTTTCACTGGCTCAGCGTGCCCCAGGGGAAGGGCTGGAAGGGGACAGGGGTAGTTGATTCTTAATAATGAATAAAATTGATAAAGTTTTTATATTTATTAAAAATTAATGAAAAATATGCATGTTTGGTCATCTTATATTTGAATAGTCAGGCTGGTATTAAACACCTAATTTTATACTGCATGAATCACATAGCAATTATTTGTCTCAGTAAAGGTTTTACTCAGAAAAAGTTAATGCAATGAATATAAACTACCAGTTCTACCATTCTAACACTGCAATGAAGTGAAGGCAATTAATAAAGGCAATGCAAAATCTTTTCCTATTTAATGTGGCCATTTACTGTATTTTCACAACAAGTTTTCAGGTATATTCTGAAACATGTATCTGTGCTTTATTCTGTTTTTCATTGCTGAATGATGTCTCATTATCTGGATATATGTACCACACTTTATGTACTTATCTATTAGATGCACATTTGGGTTGTTTCTACTTTTTTGGGGGAAAAATTTTTAGTTTTGTTTTTTGAGACAGGGTCTGATTATGTAGTTCAGACTGGCCTTGAACTCACAGTGATCTTCCTATATCAGTCTCTGAAGTGCTGGGTTACATGTACACCCCACCATGCTTGGCTGGGACAAAAATCTTAAAATCCCAGAGGCTAACATAATTCCCCAAACTTATCAGAGGTAAAGAAATGGTGAAGAAAAAGCTACATTTCCAAAGGAAAACACTTGGTACTACCATACTATGAATACTAACCTTATCTAAACCTATAAAGGTTGCAACTCCAATATTTTGTCTTTTGAGGAAGTTTACACATTCTTGGGCTGTATCAATAGAATCAACAACAATGTAGTCTAAGGCATGGCAGCAGGATGAAATAGCTACATCGTATTTTTCATCAATGGCTCCTAAGTCCCCCTAATTAAAAAGTAAAGGTTAAAAATCAATATATAATTGTAAGGAAATACACTATGTAATAGAAGTCAATTTCATTTGCATTCACACACACAGATTTCAAGTTACTTTTAATTGAAAAACTGTATGTATACATAATTAAGGAGTATGAAACAATACACAATGAAAAAAACTTAAGTGTCCCAATCACTTCAACAATCCCATTATAGAAATAGTCATTACATTGTTTTTAAAACAGGGTCTCGCTACACAGCTCAGACTGGTCCTCTGCTGACTTTTTGTAGTCCCCAGATTGATCTCAAACCTGCAGGGATCCTCCTGTCCCAAATTCCCAAGTGGTGGGATTATAGGCTTGAGCTACCATGCCTTGTTCCTGGGCTGGCATGGCATGAGGGTACAGGAACTGAATTTAGGACCTTCCAGGGAGGTGCTTATGTCTCTGAGCTATCTCCCCAACCCCTACATGTGGATTTTAAGGTCATTTTTTTTTTTTTCCTCCACTTTTAGATAGGACCTTGCTACACAGTTTAGGTTGGTCTTGAACTGATAGTGATCGTCCTACCTTAGCCTCCTGAGTGTAGAATTATAGGTATGCACCGCCTTACCTGGCTAATGTACATTTTAAAAACCACTTAACAATAAGTAGCTTGAATTTTTTTCCCCCAGACCCTAGTAGTTTCAACTTTAATAAGCAGAGTGAGATAACATTTATAGAGACAAATCTTACCAAACTAAAGGCAAAATAACAAAAATTTCAAGTTTCAATTTGTTTTGGTGCTGAGGACTAAATCCAACTTGCTAGGACAGTGCTCTTACCCCTGAGCTCAATCTGCAATCCCAAAGCATTCCAATTACTAAAAGCCAGCTAAGACAATGTAAGTACTGATGAAACACATCTTTCTCATCATTAATCTATTACTTAGCTTCCTAGCACCATTCACTGACGGGCTTTGGTTTTCCGAGGTAGCAAATAAATACACTCAAACTATATCTGCAAGAAAATATGGTGGAAGTCGCTTAGTGTTATCCCAAACTAAACAAATGAACAAAAAGAGCAAAAATTTTCAAAAACGAGTGTTCCATGTTGGGCATAGCGGCACATTCCCATAACCCAAGGAATCAGGAAGCCAAGGCAGGAAGATGACTGCAAGTTCAAGTCAGCCTGTACTACATAGTGAGACCCTGTCCCAACAAACAACAAAATCCAAGGGTGTTCCTTAAAAATGGAAGTTATTTTGTTTGGTGACTCTCAACAGATACAAGAACAGAATTTGCGATGTCTGTCTTGAGAAAAATGTGAAGTCATCCTCAAGTTTACATTACCAATCTTCCATATATTCCTGGAATCCTGCCAGACTTTTTTTCTTGAATTACTGCATCAAGTACTTTCCCTCTACTTCGATTCATTGCTAAGGAGCTTTTTGCTTCTTCAACTTTTTGGAAAAGGTCATGAACCAAACTTTTGAAATTTATTTCTTCTTGCGTAAGTTTTTGAAGTTCTTTTTCCTTCTACAGTAAAACAAAAATGAAACCAAAAAACAGATCTTCAGTATATCCAAACATAACACAGAATCAATTGTAATATTTCGATAATAGTGAAGAAGGAAGAGGCTAAAAGTAAACATGAAACAGAACTCCACTTTCATTCTAGAACTGCTGACTTAGCTTTGAAAAATGTGCATGGGCTTCCAGTTTTAAATCATTTGGGTCAATAAAAGGGAATGCAAAAGCAATATGGTTCCAGGAACAGTTCATCGTGATAGAGAATGAAGAGACATAGCTAAGGAAATCCTAGCTTGGCACCAAAGTTATGTGTAAGTATGTCTTAATTCACCAGTTCTGCTCTAACCAACAGTAGGATCTAGGAACAGGGTACCAGACATGACTGGGCAGGGTTATGCCATATTTTGCTTTCTGATTAAATAAAAATGAAAACAAAAACAAAAATGCATTATCTAAATAAAGGGGAGAAAGATGATTGGACAGTCTCACTACTATACAAAAATGTCAAGGATGCCAATCAGACATTGATCAAATCCAAATTTCATTTCTCAACATCAATTCAGCAGCAGCCATCTTTTATGACTGATGTTCTCCCCCTTTCTCCCCCATTTTCTGGCTTTACATTATCTCTATTACTTGTTACATAGGCATAAAGTCAAAGCTCAGGGCATGAATGTAACTTACTGGAAAAACAAAAAACCTACAACTCAGTCAGCAGAAAGATGGAGGTAGTCAGCAGATGTAATTTTCGTTTACATTCCACATGATCATGAAATCCCTCGATAAGAAAATAGCATGCAATTATAATGAAAAAGATTTAATTTATTTTTGATATTGTGACTAGACAAACAGCACCTTCTTTTTGAGACAATGTCTTGCCATGTTTTCCAGGATAGCCTCAACCTGGAATCACGGAATCTTTTCTTGGCCTCCCAAGAAGCTAGAACTACAGGCAGGTATCACTGGGCCCAGCTAAAACAAACCAGATTTTCTGTTGCATCTTGTCCATAGAAGCTTTAGAGATTAAAGTTCATGAAAGTCTTTAAACAACTAATTAACTCCAATTGGTGAGAGGGACATAGATGAACCAGGTAAGCCACATTGTTCATTTTTTAATTCACAACAATCTGGAGTCCCACTAGGGAAGAAACTACATCTAGAAATTGAAAATCAAAAAATGAGCTTTTTTATCCTTACATAAGTTGCCTACCTTACATGTTTACAGAAGTTTTTTCTTGAATTATTTCCATGGAAATTCAGTAGTGGTTAATCCTCAAGTCTTCCGAGGATAAGATAATTTCTTTTGTGCTAACAGGGACAAACTGAGGGCTTTGATGTGCTACAGAAGATGCAAAAATTCTAAGTCTATTCTTTTTAGATTACACTAAATGAGAAAAAGGTAACTACAGATGAATCACTTTAGATGTTAAGATTAAAAACAAGTATAACTAGGGTTGACGACTGTGTATGGTGGCGCATGCCTGTAATCCCAGCACTTGGAAGATTGAGGCAGGATTGTCATGAGTTCCAGGCCAGCCTAGGCTGCATAATGAGCTCAAGAGCAAGTTTAAACTACACTATGAGGGCTGGTGAGATGGCTCAGTGGTCTAAAGCACCTACGTACAACAAGCTAAGCTAAGCAAAGCACAGGGACCGCGGTTCGATCCCCCAGCACCACATGCCAGCCCGCC